CCTGATCTCTCCAAAATCGCTCTTGATCCTTCTCCAGTAATAATATTAATAATTATTGGTGTTTTTTAATTCGTCATCAATGGTGGCATCTGTTATGGAATTCAATTAAAAGGAGATAAAAGTTGAACTGATCCTCACGAAAAAACAGGCTATGGCTTGCACATGTGGATTTAACATTATATTAACCAAATATAGCCTCATCTGTCTTCGTCCAACACCATAAATTAAATACACCACTTAGGCTACAAATAAACTAATTATAAATTCCAACACACACTCACCTCAGTGTGACCATGTTCTACCTTATTAGGTTGTAGATCGGTCACTAAGTGATTTCTTGCCTCTGGATTTGGTAAGAATTCATTTTATCATGTTGATAAAGTATGTGTTTAAAGTAGTTTGAAACGGACGTGTGAAAAGTGTTAGCATCTATTTTAACCCCTAGGTGGCTCTGCAGTATGCTCGAGAACTTATAAAACTAAAATTCTGGGTTTGATACCCGAGATGGGCACAGCGCAGATAACTTATTATGTAGCTTTGCGCTTACAAACAAAGAAAACAAAATCATCACGTGTTATTACACCGTCTATCAGTACGTAAGTCGCATTTCTACAGTCATAATGTTAATATTCAAGGAGTACATGTTGTTATTGTGGTAAAGAAAGAAAACAGTGAAACTCTAGTGATATCCAACGGATATTACTACTGTGAAAAAACAAAAAACTATGGTTTCCGCTGGTTAAACCACTCAATTTAGCAGGAAAAATATTTGAAATCGATAGTTTCACTCATAAATACTTAGTTGAACCCTTCTGTTTTAGTCATATGTTATATTAATATATTCATTTTCACGTAAACCTCCTTCAGTGTCTATTGCATTCATTCTCATCTAAACCTCTTTCAGTGTCTATTGTATTCATTTTCACCTAAACCCCCTTCAGTTTCTATTGTATTCATTTTCACCTAAACCTCCTTCAGTGTCTATTGTATTCATTCTCATCTAAACCTCTTTCAGTGTCTATTGTATTAATTTTCACCTAAACCTCTTTCAGTGTCTATTGTATTAATTTTTACCTAAACCTCTTTCAGTGTCTATTGTATTAATTTTCACCTAAACCTCTTTCAGTGTCTATTGTATTCATTTTCACCTAAACCCCCTTCAGTTTCTATTGTATTCATTTTCACCTAAACCCCCTTCAGTTTCTATTGTATTCATTCTCAACTAAACCTCCTTCAGTGTCTATTGTATAAACTACATGTTCATCGTGTGTTTTCGATCAATGTGAATTTGGAGAAACAGTGTTATTTCTGATTTTTAGTAAGAGCTTGAATTTGGTCTTGACAAATTCCCGAGAATTTGGAAAAGGAAGATAACAACTAGTAAATGATAAAATGTTTAACTCTATATTTTCATGATAACTTTTGATATATGTTTTACTTATACGTACTGTGTTTTATACCATCAGTGAAAAGATTTCTGAACTACATTTTTATCCTATGTTTAACCTCAAACTTACTCATGGTTCAGAGATGTTTATGTTGATCAATTACGAAGAGTAAGATGTGTGTTTATATGTAATATTATGTGAATGGCATGAATGCACGGTTTAGCCGCGCATTTCGAGGGATATAACCCCAGGAATAGTGTGTTTGGTGGTACAATAAGAAGGATTGAAATGCCATAGCGTGAATACTATAAAGTTTAATATACATTAATGAAAACCTAACAAAGATATGTATATTGTGATACAAAGTGGAATCAGTGCGCATACAGAAATTTCAGGCAATAACATATAAAACGCGGATTTTTAGAGTTGTAAGCCTTCAAATTTATTGTTGAACCACTGAGGGTTTGAATGTTAAGTATCTTGAACAATAAATGTTTTCTTGCTTTTTGTAGCACAAATAAAATATTGTAAATTTCATAAATTTTACATTAGTTTCTTTATTTCGTTATGCCATTTTAAAATTAAAATACACAGAACTTATTTACATTTATTAAATTATTTCAATTTAAAACTTTTAACTGCGAAATAAAACAAAATTTGGGGAATAATTACATGTTTCGTGGTAATAAATAATTAAAAAAAATATGTTACAGTGAACAGGAATATACTTTTTACACATCACAGTAACTCTTATTCAGAGCCTGATATAACCTTGTGGTTAAGGCATTCAATTTACAATACGCGGGTCGCGGGCTTGAATCCCGCCACCAAACACATTTGGTTTTTCAGTCGTGGGGGCGTTATAATGTGCGGTCAATCCAACTTTTCGTTGGCAAAGGGTAGCCCATGAGTTGGCGGTGGGTGGTGTCGAAATGCTGCCCTCCATATAATTTATCGCTTCAAAGATTTAATCCGTTACTCATCCGTTCCCCAGCGGAAAGTCTACGGACTTACAACGTAAACATCCGGGTTCGATTACCCGCGGTGGACATAGCAAATAGTCCAATGTGGCTTTACTTTAAAAAACGAACATTTACCCGTTCATTGAATTAAAGCTGTTATATTAAGCTGATTAAAATATAGTGGCGGTTTTTCATCTGTACTTTATAAAAATAATGTGTAGGGAGGAAGATTTATTTATTTTTTTCAGATGTCCACTTTCCCAATTTCGGAAAAACAAAACGTTAGGGGATATCAGTGACATTCTTCCGGTCAGGAAGGAGTTAAAGAAATAGTCTTTTATGGCAACAGTTTCAAATAGAGGTGGACCGGTATGATTAACTGGTAATTTAACTTAAACTGCCTTTCATTTTAACTTTATCTCATGCACAAATTTCTTTCCTTGCGTTCCTTCTTATGCTATTATATGATTCATCTTCTTTTTTTTATAAGTTCATAAACAATTATTCGCTAACATAATCACCACCAGGTGACTAAATTTCGTTTATTGCCTTGCATGACTCAAAGAAATTGGAACTGGTGACCTGTTGACTGCTTAGTGCCATCCTCCTTGGTATAACCATGTGATAAAAGTTTCTTTCATGATCTGCCCACTAATGGCTCAGTGGTAAATCTGAAGAGTTATGACGCAAAAAATCGGGTTTCAGTACCTGTGGGTGGCATAACACAGATGTTCCCCTGGTTGGACAGCGATAAATCTACAGAGTTACAACGCTAAGATCAGGGGTTTGGTCCCCCTCGGTAGATACAGCATATACCCCTATTTGGCTTTGCTATAAAACATACACATACACACTCGCATGACTTTAGAACCAAGTTCGTCGTTTCCTCCTTATACAATACTCGGTGACTTTATCTTAGCAATAAGGAGTTCGTTGTTTCCTCCTTAAACAATACTCGGCGACTTTATCTTAGCAATAAGGAGTTCGTTGTTTCCTCCTTATACAATACTCGGCGACTTTATGTTAGCAATAAGGAGTTCGTTGTTTTCTCCTTAAACAATACTCGGCGACTTTATGTTAGCAATAAGGAGTTCGTTGTTTCCTCCTTATACAATACTCGGCGACTTTATGTTAGCAATAAGGAGTTCGTTGTTTCCTCCTTATACAATACTCGGCGACTTTATGTTAGCAATAAGGAGTTCGTTGTTTCCTCCTTATACAATACTCGGCGACTTTATGTTAGCAATAAGGAATTCGTTGTTTTCTCCTTAAACAACACTTGGTGATTTTATCTTAGCAATAAACATTTCGTTGTTTCCTCCATAAATAACACTGGACAACTTTATCTTAGCAATCAGAAATTCATTGTTTTCTCCTTAAATAACACTCGATAACTTTATCTTGTCAATAAGGAATTCGTTGTTTTCTCCTTAAATAACACTCGATAACTTTATCTTGGCAATAAGGAATTCATTGTTTACTCCTTAAATAACACTCGATAACTTTATCTTGGCAATAAGGAATTCGTTTTATCTTAGCACCTTCAAAGCCAGTTTAAGAAGATAAAATGTCGTCCAGACCTAATCTAGTGAATTTTGAATCTAATATTCATTAAAATATTCACAAACAAGTAAATTCTAGATGATGCTGTAAGTAAGAAATATTTTTTAAACTTGCTTTACTGTTGTTCCTGTACTAATTCTCACATTGAATTAATCGTCTTACTGGGCTTGTGGTACCTGAAAGTATTTGTATTCATGACAATGCTATTAGGGCTGCCTGCTATATTTCCTAATATTAAGCGAGTGATCAGAGGGAAAGGTAGCCAGTCAACAGCACCCTCAGCATCCATGCTTCTGTAGTGAGTGTCACTCTTATAATGCGCTCATAGCTTAAATATACAATTAATATTTTGAGGTGTCAGATAGACTCGAATCTGGCTCGTAAGTTCCGAAATCCAGAGCTTTATCACGTGATCACCGATACATAAATATTATTACATACATATCAAATCCAGTTGCATTTTATCTGGTGTATATAATGGAAGTGTAAAATTGGCAGTATTTGGTTGTGGAAGTTTTACAAAACACTGTTTAAAATACTAAACTCAAAAGGTATTTAACCATGAATCAACATTTTATTTTTTTTATTTTCAAAGCATGAAACGTTACATTCTTGAATTGTAATGCTAGCTTTAAATGTTTTTGGTTTTTATTACTTTACGTTAAAAAATAAGGGATTAAAAAAAGTGTTTGAATCTCAATTTACGTATGATAAGCCTAAGTTTCAAACTACACTTTTTGTAGTTTTATAGAAAACAGATTGTTTGTCTTTCCATTCCTTGACGGGGTTGTTTTTTTTTTTTAGTCACGAGTATTTTTATGAAAAAAAAATGTAATGATTGACAAGATTTACATTAAAGTACTAATACAGATTAATCAGGAAAAATAAAAGTAAACATCTGCGGAGATAATAACACGTTTATTTTCAAGAACATATAGGATTAGAATCAATAATTAAGCTACAAATTGTGAAGAACCGTTCGAGGACTTCATTTGAGAAAGAATACGTTAACTTTCGTTTTAAGTAAGAGTCTAGTAACAGAACTACTTTTCACTTTTTATTTTTGTGTTTGTCGATTGATTTTTCGTAGTATATTGTAAATATATCAAATTAATACATAGTAAATGCAAAATGTAAAAAATGCGTTCCTAGATGCACGGACAGCCACAACACATAAAGAAGTCCTCACAATAGAAAAGTTGATTTTCCAAATGATACGTCAATAGGCGGGTGGTTTTACGTTTTTGGGTACACTTGTCCTTGTTCACGCATGCACTGTAAAAAAAAAATATATATATATATATACATCGATTAATCATTTGATTTCAAAAAATCTCGTGGTGATGCAGGTGCTGAACAGCTTGTTAACATGTTAAAGTTTTCGTTTCGATTAAGTAATCTCTATTTATTTATTTATCTGACTTTTCAGTCGGTTTTCTACGGAAAACAAAAGCAGTCGAATAATAATAAAGGTCAGTAAAACTTAAAATTTAAGAGTTTCATAAATTGTTTGTTTGAAGTTCGCGCAAAGCTACATGAGGGTTATCTGCGCTAGCCGTCCCTAATTTAGCAGTGTAAGACTAGAGGGAAGGCAGCTAGTCATCACCACCCACCGCCAACTCTTAGGCTACTCTTTTACCAACGAATAGTGGGATTGACCGTCACATTATAACGCCCCTAGGGCTGAAAGAGCGAGCATGTTTGGTGTGACGGGGATTCGAACCCGCGACCCTCAGATTGCGTCCTAACCACCTGGCCATGCCGGGTCGTTTCATAAATTTAAAATGCATTTATGATTAAATTGCAAGTTATTAATAGTTAAGTTAATAATTAAAACGATGAAATTAGACATTGGATAAACTTTGATTTCTAATATTTGTGTAATGAAAAGATAGTTATAACTACAATTAATTTCTATTATTTTTCTGCTGTTAAGCCGATTAGCAAAATATGTGTTGCAAATTATTTTCTTATTGTAAAATCACTAAGACAAATTTAGGAAAGCCTAGGTATTAATTTCTGGATTATATTTATGTAAGTGTGAATGTAAAGTTCAAAAGTAACCGAAGACAACGTAGGTTACTATATTAGTGCACATGTAACATATATATCACTACGGAATACGTAAAAAGTAACCGAAGACAACGTAGGTTTCTATATTAGTGCACATGTAACATATATATCACTACGGAATACGTAAAAAGTAACCGAAGACAGCGTAGGTTTCTATATTAGTGCACATGTAACATATATATCACTACGGAATATGTAAAAAGTAACCGAAGACAGCGTAGGTTTCTATATTAGTGCACATGTAACATATATATCACTACGGAATACGTAAAAAGAGTTATTTAAGACCTAAAAACACTTGTTCATTTGTTCCGATAGAAAGAGGTCAGAATCAACCAGTTCTTATGTTTTAGGGTACAACATTCGAAGAATTAGCATCTCGAGATGTAAGCTCGTGGAGTTTCATATCTTTAATATAAAAATGAAAATGTTATATAATACATAATAGTAAATATCATGTAAATAGCAATAAAACCATTTAACACATAGTTCAGTAATACTTTAAAAATTATCTATAGAGTGCGTTATGTTAAAAGAAATCCAAATTATTTTTTATGGTAGTCCTATATAGTTTTTCTCTTGACAAAAAGAAAAAAAAAACACTTCGCTTAAGACGATACTATGCTTAATATTTAATGTTTTCTTTCCGCGAATTTTATGCTCTTTGGTGAAGTATTTTAATGATTTATACACTTGTAATACACTTACCCACATTTGTGCTCCCAGATACACTGTTGAAAACCAACAAGAGGAGCCTGTACTATTATTCGAAATTCACCTTTTACCGTATAACCAAACGTGGGAGTACATTTTTTAGGTTCCGCCTCGCAAACATCACTGGATGGAATCCTGGACAACATTAAATAAATTATTATAAAGGTGAATTAAAACATTTACATTCGGACCTTAAATAAATTGTTAGTTTTTTTTTTTTCTATTTAGAAAAACTTTCGAGGGGGGAGATAACAATGCTATTAATAATATTGATGCACTAACACACACACACATACAGGGAAGAAAAACTATAAGGCACTTTTGTAAATGAATAAATTTGCACATTAATGAAGTAGTCCACATGCACGTCATTCCAGGTGACTAGGGTGTATGTATAAAAATTAGCTATTCCTGCTGTGTCTCAGTCGCCGAAAAGAATGCAACAATTGTCGAGTGAGAGATGATACTATGGTCCCCTAACATCTGAAGGTGAAATGCAGGCCTCAGTGTGCCAAGAGTTACGGTTTCTAATGTGACGTCGCCTTGGAGTACAAGTAATGTCGAAACAGTGTCAGGAAGATCATCATGAATGATCGGGACCCCTGCACATTAACCTTCTCTGTGTAAGAGAAGATCAACTAACAGTCAATGAATGGCTTGTTAATATAAAGGCTTCCAGTTTTCCTTTAGTTGATAGAGTCCTACATTGAAATCAACACTTGCAGAAACCAAAATGGTTCAATAACCAAAAGTAGTGAAAGGGTGCAATTTGTTTCCCATCAAATGAGAATGGTTAGATGTGGAGATTGACAAGAAAGATTGGCTCTATCATGAGATACTAGGTGGCGTTTAATTGGAATGGATTTGGTCCAATAATTATACTGAAAGGCAAGGTAACTCCTATTCCCAAAAACAATACACCCTAGTATGTGGTAGTTATATCTCGCTGGCTATTGTGTTTTTATTGCTTCTACCCAGACTGCAAGAATTGGTGTAAGCAGGTTGTTCAGAACCAACGAGTCTTCGGTCATCTATCCTGGTCTGCCCAATCACAATGGAATAATCGTGAGTTAGACTTAAAGCAGGTTTCGACATCGTTTTCCAGTTCTGACATCTTTTAAGTAATTGAAGATGATTTTATTTAAAAAATGATTTAGTATTCATACTGAAACTTTCAATGCTTTAAAACCAAAGGAAAATATGTCTTTTTCTGAAGGCTGATGGTACCCCAAAGAACATCACATTAAATATTTCTGGGCAAATTGCTTACTTTTTTATCCAACTTCTATGTAAATAGAGGGTATCGAAAAGTCTAGAACCATAGATGATTTGTAGTTTTTCTTAAATTGTAATACGTATCTGATTATGGCGCTGTCAAAGCATAAGAAGGTCGAGTTAATCCTGCTTTTAATCAAACTTGTTTCTAATTATAAGGAAAGCATGTGGAACACATTCTGTAAAATTTGTTGAAGTGTCTATGGTGCCAGACTTTTTGTACACCCTGTATTGTTTATTTCGGAAAAGAAAACTCACAGAACGAAAACTATTCACACAGTAGTTACTTACGGGGAGCTGGCTGAACAGCGACCAAGTTGTGGACTGAAAAAAAAATCTTGCTTGAGCATATAAGTACCATAAGTTCATTTTAAGTTTTTGTTACGAACGGAAAAAAGTTTTGTCTAACCACAAACATATTATTGTTTAAAAAGCATATACATCTATATATATTATATAATAAGAAAAATTAACAGTAACATGTGTAAGTGGACGATAATTCAGCAACGGCTTTATTTGGTCATTTTGAAGTTTACACAAAGCTACACGAAAGCTATCTGCGCTATTGTCCCTAATTCTAAAGTGACAATTCTTACACCACTCTACTAAGACACATCAACAATCCTGAAGTCCAAAGTATTAAGATTTGTTTAATGCGGTAATTGTGTGCAAACCACGAAACCTCAACCCTAAAGTCAGACATTCTAACCACTGGGCGTGTTAGGCTCTCAGTACCACGGAATAATGATAATATTATATTATTGAACAGACCAATTTAATAACAAAATCGAAAAAAAATTAAATAAAGTGAATGAATATCAGAGCTGGTCCGTCAGCAGTAAAAAAAAACAACTTTGGAGGAAAATATATGCAGTGATAGCATCATGGCCGGATTATCCATTGGGCTCAGAAAAAAAGCAAAAAAAGAAACGTGTTCTTTGTTTAAATTTTTACATGGGTGTCTATTTTACGACTTCACCAAAAGCGGTAAGTCTGAGGGCCTATAACGCTAAAAATCAGGTTTCGATACTCGTGGTGGGCAGAGCGCTGACAGCTCATTGTGTAGCTTTGTGTTTAACAAGAAACAAAAACAAAAATGGTTTATAAATGGAGTTCTATATTTTAACCGAGGTTAGCAAATTTCAATCTTTAGACATTTTTTAAAATCCCGACTTTTTTTTTAGATAAAGTAATTTAAATAAAACAATGAAACAATCATTTTATTTTAAAAAAAGGAAGTTTATCGATTAATTATTTATGAATGGAATGACAACTACGTGTTGTAGAAACACAATCTATTAAAGAATAAGCAACTTTATCCTTTCCTTCCTGCCCCCCCCCGCAGTGGCACAGCAGTATTTCTTCGGACTTACAACGCTAGAAACCGGGTTTCGATACCCGTGGTGGGCAGAGCGCAAATAGCCCATTGTGTAGCTTTGTGCTTAATTACAAACAAAGAAACCTTTCCTTCCTTTCTGGCAAAACATTTAAGTAAACCCCCTATTCAAGAATTGGAAAACATGTGGCCCAGTACGATGCATGGTGCGCGAGATAGATTATATGTAACATCAGTTTTATCATATTCGTTTTCACATCGGAGAGTTTTGTTATGAATTTGATCGTTCATAAGGGACGTAACTGAAGAAGTTTATGGTTGGATAGAGGGAACATTTGTTCGGACACAGTGACCCGTGCGATATTTCGTCTGTGAGATCTAATTCAAAAAACAAAAAAATCAAGGTTCATTTCAGGTTCTCAAATTTACAGCTCAAAACCTTACCACCATTCACTGTCCACTCCTCTGTGATAACCTTACCATCATACACTGTCCACTCCTCTGTGATAACCTTACCACCATACACTGTCCACTCCTCTGGGATAACCTTACCACCATACACTGTCCACTCCTCTGGGATAACCTTACCACCATACACTGTCCACTCCTCTGGGATAACCTTACCACCATTCACTGTCCACTCCTCTGTGATAACCTTACCATCATACACTGTCCACTCCTCTGTGATAACCTTACCACCATACACTGTCCACTCCTCTGGGATAACCTTACCACCATACACTGTCCACTCCTCTGTCATAACCTTACCACCATTCACTGTCCACTCCTCTGTCATAACCTTACCACCATACACTGTCCACTCCTCTGTCATAACCTTACCACCATACACTGTCCACTCCTCTGTCATAACCTTACCACCATACACTGTCCACTCCTCTGTCATAACCTTACCACCATACACTGTCCACTCCTCTGTCATAACCTTACCACCATACACTGTCCACTCCTCTGGGATAACCTTACCACCATACATTGTCCACTCCTCTGTCATAACCTTACCACCATACACTGTCCACTCCTCTGTGACATAATTCAATAAATGAAAATTGTAGATTTTTTAATAACCACTCTTAAAATGCTTAATACTTTTATAATCACTCTCCATCTTTCTTTTTGTGTTTTTGCACATGAAATTAAAGAACGATATGAATCCTACACTGTGTAAAACACACACTAAATGAATTATGTGATTATTACGAGTTCATTTTCAACAAGTCATTGTAACCCATAACTCGTGTAGCAAATTTAATCTTCTTCTTGCCTTACCTTTTTATTACTATTGATGATGCAATCCCCCGGTACGTTAATGATTTTGACTAATTTAGATAGTCAATTCTTCATAGCTATAAGCTTTAATGCTTTCACAACGTACTGTAAACAAGGTTAAAATTTGTATCCGTTTAGTGTAAGATGTTGTTGTAAAACAGTATACTGTACTAGAAAAACTATTACTAACGAAACTGACATATCCTTAATTTATAAAGCACATATATTCTGTCCATATAAAATTAATACATTAACATCATAATAATATACGTTATATGTGAAAGAACAGATGATACCCAAAGTGACAGTTTTGAAAGCCACACTTTTTAAATGTTCTAATCAAGTAGATCATGCTGTTTTTTTGTCTGCCAAGTACGTCTTCGGGTTCTTCCACGGTTTCATTCGCCTGAAGTACTTCTTTCACTATGGTATTAATACGCCTAGTAAAAAAAAACAAAAAACATTAATTATTTACAGTGACTACATGTATTGTTACTGCTGAAGATAATAATAATAATAACAAAGTTAGAGATCTAGCAGACCCCACTCATCTTGTAGCTCAGCAGTAATCTTTAAGGCTTATAACACTAAAATGCAGGGTTTGATCTGTGAGGTGATCACGGAAAGCTTTCCGAGAAATGCACTTTAGAAACGAATCACTAAACCAAAGCACTAGTAATTCACTTTTCAATCCATATTAATTTAATACAAGTTTTTCCTAATCACATTCAGATGTTAATCATCTGGAATGAACTGAAAACAAATCGCTTCTTTTTTTGTGTCAATATGTGAAGTTCAGTAAATCACTTATTACGTTCACTTAACACTGATTTTTTTATGATTTAACATGATTAGTTATTACTTTAAACACAAAATAATTAAATGGTATAAAGCTTGGGTTATCACAATATAAATAAAAACAGATTGGTTGATTTTTATTATTAATATTCAAAACCCTAAACTAATAAATACCGCAAGACAAGAGTCTCTTTTAGAAAATGCTTTCCAGTTATTGTTGTGTTATCCTCAATATAAGACTGGATTTAGTTGAAGAACAGAAAATTAAAACTTACTCTTGAACTTCCTTAGTGTATGAGAGTCTCCTTCCATGGATAACTCCAACATTTAGTGGTTCGTCACAAAGGCACAAAGGTGTATTGATGTCACTTGCAATGCATGTCAGTACCCCAAAGAGGACAAAAGTAGCAAGCTGGACCTATATGAAAATATGTAATATACAAACAGTAAACAAATATGTTTTGTTGAAGGAAGAGATTAACAAAAACTAAACAATATAAAAATGACGTTAAAAATATTTTTTTAAATTATTATTACTGTTAATTTATAAGAAATAAATAAAACCATAAAGACATAAAAATATAGGTTTCGTACCATCCAGGATACTCTTCAGTTTCTACAATAAAGCTTTCTCGAACAAGACCTACTTAACAATGTAAAACTTCCCAGGTTTTTTTTTTACCTTAAAACTTTATATTTGATTCAAACACTCTCTCTATGTTAAACTATGTAACATTCAATGTGGTTTCAAATTTATTAATAAAATAATTTTCATAAAATAATCTTTTTTTTTTGCACAAGAATACCAAAATGGAAATATTTTGAAAAAGGTTCTTCTAAAGTATGATATTTTTCCATAATATTCTTATTAATGGTTTTTTAACAGGTAATAGGCTATTATTTGCATTTCTGACATCAGATTTGTGTAAATTTATTCTCAAACGTAAATTTTCTGTTTCTCTAACATATATTTGCTTACAACAAATACAAGTTAATACATAAATAACATTCTGTGAATTATTACAACTAAATGTAGAGTTTATAAACATATTTTCTTTCCAGTAGGGCCTGTAATATATTTAGTGTATGTAATATAACCTTTCCCACAAATATAACAATTTGGTTTATTGCAGGGAAAACACCTTCATCAGATTTCTCCAGTATAATTTTTTTTTAGGTTGTCTTCGAGATAATATGATTTGTTTATTTTCAAAGTTAGCTTTTAGAATTTTTATTTCAAATTCTTTCCGATTTTTTTGGATATAATTAATATTAATTTTAACTCCAGGGTAATGCGATATTACAAAAGGAATTATTTCTTCTTCTTTTCTATTATTATTATTAGTTTCCTTTGGAAGTGTCATTTTCCAGAAAGTGTAATAGAGAGGTTTCAAGTTAACTAAGATTTAAAAATAAATTTAAAACCACATTAAATGTTACGTATAGAGGGAGTTTAAAACAATTATAAAGATTTAAGGTAAATAAACGCGGTAAGTTTTACATTGTTAGGTAGGTTTTGCTCGAGATAACGTGATTGTAGAAACTGAAGAGTATCCTGGATGATACGAAACCGGTATTTTTATGCTTTTATTTATTTCTTTTAAATTAACAGTAATAAATAAAGTTTATTTTTTTAATTTTGAAAGTCATTTTTTGTTTGTTTGTTTGTTTGTTTTTGAATCTCGCACTAGCCGTCCATAATTTAGCAGTGAAAGACTAGAGGTAAGGCAGCTAGTCATCACCACCCACCGCCAACTCTTGGGCTACTCTTTTGCCAACGAATAGTGGGATTGACCGTCAAATCATAACGCTTCCACGGCTGAAAGGGTGAAGGTATTTGGTGGGAGAGGGATTCGAACCTGCGACCCTCAGATTGCGAGTCAAGCGCCCTAACCGTTATTTTTTATATTATTTCATATATATATATATACAATCTTGTTTTTGAAAATTTCGGATGAGTACTTGTATGACTTACTGAGAAAAAACGTAATATGTTGGTGATTTTTGACGACAATTGAAATTTCAAAACTACACACAAAGTTGTATTCTTATTTTGTTGATATGCACAGTTTTAAAACATTTCTTCTTTCGTTATTTAAACCGCCGTGAAAACTCTCTCTCTCCATTTCGCCCGGTGGCACGTATTGGCCCTGTGGTGGAATTTCGATTTTCGGCGATTGTGAACCGGGTTCGAATCCGTGAGATACCATAAAATATTCCATTCGCTTTAAGCTGTGGGTGCGTTTCAAAGTTACGCTGGCTGCATCTTCCCTGGTCATTAGTTCAAAATCAGGGATTGCAGCCTTAGTTGTTTGGCCATAAATATAAAATATAAATACCCTGTTGAATAAAGCTATGAATGCAACATCAAGATCTGTAACAAATGTCCCAGCAAGTCTTTCTTACTTATTATATGGATTTACTTTGTTAGATACAGTTTGATTTCCAATAACCAAATACTTTGGTTTAAAATTTGTGAGGAAAATCACATAAACTGAAGATGTTCTCCCCCCACACATGTCTCTTGATTTATTCGTTTTGGATTCAAAATTAGAAGTTGTTTTCTTTTCCTTTTATCATGAATAGAAATAGTACTCAATAGTTACTATGAATTAATTTTGGTTCATTATAATAATTGTGTTCTTTGGACAGAGAAGACTTTGACACATGAATATAGTCCAGCATTTTTCAAATCCTAAAGATATTTGAATTATTGGGATTTCATAGAATGTAAATAGTTTAGAAACAACGGTTAATATGTAAAAACACTGCACATGAATGCAACGTATTTTGCCATTTTTGGATTCAGTTTTCAAGCTCGAAGCCTGATTCCTATGCATACCAGTCAGTATACATTACTTCCTCGGACGATCAAACAACAGCCGGATGCTGTAATTATTATTATTGAAGATTGTATCCACGTGTTATAATCACTGTAAGTCATGTAAAGAATGAATTCAACTTCAATTCCAGCCTATCTGGCAGCTATTGGGAGTCGAAACACTTTACCTCCTTAGATTAATATTTATATATTCGTTTACTCATAAAACAGAAGAATACTTAAACAACAAGCTGTTCTTTTTGATTCGGAAGAGGGTCATACACCCAAGAAAATTACCAGAGTAATCAAAGCAAGTTACCTAATTTACTTTAAGTAAGCCGTTAGACATGGTTCTGGTAATTGTGAATCAGATACCAGAAATTCAGCTTCCGGTACACGACACATTATCTAATAACAGCAAGGATCAAACTTTTTAAAAGTCAGAAGAACTGTTAGATTTAGTGAAAAAACGGTACTCTTTAAAATTCATTATAGAAAAATAAATATTTGTTATAACCAAAATGAATCATAGGAATAGTCAGTCCAGAAAAGAAAAATGTTATGAAGTAGAAATGAGCTACATGCGAAAAACGACAAATAACTGAGCTTGTATAAGGTTGATAACTGCCTTTCACAAGAAGAGAAGCTATCTAAAGAAAGTAGAAATCTGAGAGAAAAAACAATTAAAAACAAATTCCTGTCCATAGGCTCAACTGTTCAATAGCAAGAAGAAGACGGTGAACGTTAATCGGGCTTCTATAAGAAAGATGTTCCAGAATCCTTGCTAGCCTTAGAACTGTTCTGCGGTATACTGAGGGTTCATTGGACTTCTGTAAGAAAGATGTTCCAGAATCCTTGCTAGCCTTAGAACTGTTCTGCGGTATACTGAGGGTTCATTGGACTTCTGTAAGAAAGATGTTCCAGAATCCTTGCTAGCCTTAGAACTGTTCTGCGGTATACTGAGGGTTCATTGGACTTCTATAAGAAAAATGTTCCCAAACCCTTGCTAGCCTTAGAATTATTCGACAGTATTCTGAGGGTTAATTGGACTTCTATAAGAAAAATGTTCCCAAACCCTTGCTAGCTTTAGAATTATTCGACATTATGCTGAGGGTTAAACATCTTTCTTACAGAAGTCCAATTCCAGAATTCTTGCTAGCCTTAGAATTATTCGATATTATGCTGAGGGTTAATTGGACTTCTATAAGAAAGATGTTCCAGAATCCTTGCTAGCCTTAGAACTGTTCCTCTGGAGCAGTGTTGTGTAACAATATGATTTACATTGTAACAAACTTCTTTGGAGTATGAAAAGAAAGACCAGACAAATTGACACTTCCAATATATGTCAGCAATGTTTTCCATGACCAAATTTAAACAGACAAGACACCAATAAATGTTGATTGGTGCTGAATCCGGAGAACCAACAGGTATATAGTCGAATGAGATTGCTGTGATTCCCATTTCTTTGGCTGTCTTTCTTATTGAAAACAGCCTTTGATTTCGAGGTGTGGCTTGATCATGTACAATGTTTCATCGTAATAACTTTTGGGAAGATTGTCTTTCGTAACCATAGCCTTGATTCTGCAGATGAGGACATTGCTCGGAGTACTGGTTTCAGACCCGCTGCTGTTCTAAATCCTCTGTTGTACAAGTATTTCTGCTTCCATGGTAAATACAGAAGGCTTCGTTCTGTGTAATGTTGTTTAGTTTAACTGATGTATTCCTCTAATAATACATTTTCCCATGGCAGCAAACCATTGTCTCTCATAACACAAATGGTAGCAACACGCCACCGTATTAGTATACGCAAGTCATCCATATATGTTTATCATAGAAGTAATCGCACGTTATTCGATCATAAAAGAGTAGCCTGAGCGTTTACGGTGGTTGTTGTTGACTACCAGCTCAAAATTAGGGACGGAAATGCGCAGACAGCCATTTATGTATAAAATTTTGAGGTTATCTATATCCACAGTAACTCTTTATTAAACTATATACGTAAGCAATTGAAGACTATCTATGCCAGCAGAAATGCTGTAGTTAAATTACACTTGATAGCTATCAATCTCTATTATAAAGTTACGCTACATGTTGTTATCTTTTATTAAAATTCTTCATTCCCCACCAAAAATGAATGCAAATGTAAATTAATGGTCTCTAGTCTGACGTTTTAGTTGAAAGCAAATGCTTATGAAGAAATTAATTAAATACGTTAACAATTTGTTTAGAGCAGTCTTATTTACGATAGCTGCCTCTTATCCCGCAGCTTCTTGTTATAATAACACCATTTACCTTAGTTATGCCCACTGCAGTCTTATTTACGATAGGTGCGTCTTATCCCGCAGCTTCTTGTTATAATAACACCATTTACCTTAGTTATGCCCACTGCAGTCTTATTTACGATAGGTGCGTCTTATCCCGCAGCTTCTTGTTATAATAACATCACTTACCTTAGCTATGCCCACTGCAGTCTTATTTACGATAGATGAGTCTTATCCCGCAGCTTCTTGTTATAATAACATCACTTACCTTAGCCATGCCCACTGCAGTCTTATTTACGATAGATGAGTCTTATCCCGCAGCTTCTTGTTATAATA